AAGAGCTAATACAGACTCTGGCTTCCAGCCAGACCTTATCACTGCAGAGAAAACATTTTGAGGCAACAGGTTAGGGTTAGGTTCATCTGCAGTCTCGGAAAGGAAGGTCTGCATGTCATAACTAACTTATTTTTCTGCACAGCTTTGAGGTTTCATGGACATCACCACCACTCTTCTATTAGCAGATTTAAGGAGAAGACACTGCTTTCAGTCTTCCCAACATGATTCTCGTGTGTCCTTCTGCCTGACCTGTTTTCATGCAGTTCATGCAATGATCTGGAAGCCAGAAGGTGACATTTTTATCAGTTTGACCACCTGCAGATCACAGACCATAGCTTCGCGTAAAATTAGGCCATAGATTTTAAAAAATAAAGATCAAAACTGCAACTCTGACTTAAGACCAATCTAAGAGTGCTGCATGCTTGACTAGGCTGTTCTGTCTTGTTCTTACTGTTTTTTCTGACTTGTTGGGCTTCACTTTGTGTTAGTTTAAGGCACAGCTTAGGTTCCTTCAATACTAATCCCCAAGAAACAAGCCCTGAAAAAAAGAATTTGACATGTAGCTGTAAGGAAGAAGGAGGACATGGATGTACAAAGAGGGGAGAGGAAATGCATGAGCATATCCATGCTGCTAAACACAGAAGTGACAGTACAAGATTTAGGTTGGGTGTTTGAACAACACAGCTATGGCAGCACAATCTATATCTGGGTTAACAACCCCCTAAATCAGTCCCCATGGGGCTTCAGGTCTCTTTTAAAGCTAAACCACTCCTGCTGCCTGAATCAGCTGTGGTGTCAGTGCTGGACTCCGTACTTGCACTGTCTCATTTGGCATTTGGCAGTAGCATCTTCCAAACCATGCTCAGTCACACTGGTAGATTTTGTGGGCATCCAAGTAGTGAGTTTTAACTACATGATTGAAAATGATCTTGAGGTAGTTTTGTCTGTGGGCGGAGTCCTCCTTTGGAGCTTCAGAGAAAAAAGCATGAGGGTGCTTAATGGAGCTTATACCAAAGGTTGAGTGGAGGTTGGTGTTAGATCCCCCAGCTAAAAACAAGATTAGATCTTTTTACCCTAAAGGAGAAACTAGAAGCCTTAAAGTACTGCAAAAATTTTGCTTGATGAAATAGAGGAACCAGAAGAAGGATAGAAAGAGAAGGGCAACAAAATTCAGCATCAGTGCTTACACTGAAACTGAGATCCCACTTACTTCTATGGTTATATAGCTTCACCCTCCATGCACTGTCTTGCTATATATAAGACTCCTGGGTCAAGAGGTCCTCAAGCTTCAAATCTTTCATCCCAGGAAATGTTCCCTGTAGTTCTGCTCTTCAGCACCTTTTTCAAAGCACGCCCTACTAAAGTAGGACAAGACATTTTAATGAGTTTCACTCACACTGTAGACAGTGTTGCTTTCTGTTCCCGGTTCCTAGAGAGCTCCTGACTAGTTTTTCAAGTACCAAATCTCTCTTCCTCTGTCACTGAAGCTCATGAGCAGCTGATCTCACGACCATTTTGGTTCTGAAGTCTTTTGCACAGTAACTGACTTTCTGTTTGCCCTTTTCCTTCTTGTAAACATGATCTAGATGTTCCAGCTGAATGTTCGTGTGGCTCTACTAGAACACACTCTGTACATTTGTGTGAGGTTTACCAACCACTCCTGTGCTTTGTCATTCACAAGAATCCAGATGATCTATGAAAAAGCCAAGATAAAGGCATATTATATTGACCAACAGATATATTCCCTTACTGGTTTTCTCTGATTTTAGATATAAACTCTTTGACTGAAGCAGTTTCCTGTTTGACGAGAGCCAGCACAACCTACTGGGAGATGCTTATCAGCAGTCCCTCTGCACACTCCCAGCAGAGCCTGTTACAGCCTCCTGGCTGCAAGCTCCAGCTCGGCAGAAGCACTTGCTTTTGATTACAGAGATCTCCAGTGTCAGCCAAGGAGGTGGATATCAAACCTGTGCACGCTGGGTGCTGCCAGCAACACATCATAAATAATAGTAATGGAGTGTAATTGCTCATTAAGCCAAATCATAGCCTGGAGCCCTCCATCTGGCCAAACTCCCTTCGACATCAGCGGGAGCTTTGCCAGCAGGTGTGCAATAGGATTGGGGTCCCAAGCAGTGGTACTGCCAACCACGTACAGTAGCACTGCTATTGGGTTTTGATTCAGATCCCCTTGAAACTGCTGTGTGTCTTTTGGATTGATCTAGAAGAATTTAGCTACCTCCCCTTGCGTTACACTGCTTCTCAGCCAGCACAGCTACATCTGTGCAACAGTTATCCCAGATGGAGTATGGAGGAGGAGAATTCCTGACACTGAGCTACGGGATTTTAATTTTAGAGAGGAGATGGAAACTCTTTCCTGTTGGGTCTCAAATGGTGTTTTGTACGGTTGTAATTTGAGGCTTGAAAATGTCCCAGAAGCCTGCAACTGAAAACCCCCAACATGTAATTGATATTGAAAAGTGTTGTGTCCCTGGTGCAAGGGCTATAAAAGGCACTCCTGGTGTGCCTGCCTATCAATCACCTATTGCTATTTGACATTGGTACAACCCTTTGCAAGTGAAAATAATTTACTGCCTTTCCCCATGAAAATTATTTACCATTCCCATTTTGGTTTGAACATTTACTGTTGTGGTTCAAAGCTGTGATGAATTGGTTAGCTATAAATTTTCTTTCCCATTCTCCTCCCACCTCTTCCTAATGCAACACTGGGATGAAGGTTAAGGCATAGGGTGTTATCTGAAGGAAATGCTCCACTCTCAGTGCCCCATCCATCCTTGCTAATGCTTATAGCTCCCCTGTGGTATTGGGAAGTGTAATCGCTATTGTACTGAGGTAGAACAGGAGCTGGAGAGAGATAAATGGCCTAGTTATCAAAACTTCCTAGCCTCCCACAGCCCTCCTTGGGAATACAGCTATAAATGACATTCAAATGATGCTGATAGATGTGAGCTGAGCAGGCAGCAGAACGTGTGCGGTCCCGGTGCTGCGCCCAGGCCAGCCCCTCCTCGCTGAAAATGTCATGGAGATCTCAGCTATCCTGACACTGGCTGCAGACATTGGGGGATGTGTGTGAGATACGTTGCTGTCTGCTCTCAGCTGCTTGTAGACAAATCCCACGGGGTTGCAAAGGCTCAAAATCAAATGGTGACTGAGACATGTTAAAGCTGGAGCTTGCAGAGCTGAATGCAGAGGTGGTTTTTCTTCTTTGGCACAGATTCTGCTCAAGAGAATTACCTCAGAGGTGAAATATGGTAGGGAAAACAGCCCTTTCACCCGGCACTGTAATGGCAGAAGTGTCACTTTTGAGTGACTCAGGTCCAAAATAGTATGGCCTGTGGTGGGTCCAGAAATCAACTCCAGGAGCTCCCTTTCCATCTGTTGTCCTTCCTGGTGTGTGAAACAGGAGGACTGCACATCCCTCAGAAATGGAACAGGAGCAGCTAGAGTAGGTGGCAAATCTGCTTCTCTTATGAGTCTAGAAGGGCTCTTGGGTGTCTTGGCATCTCTTCAGGAGATACCAGGAAAATTCCCCCATCTGGAGGAGGAGAACCTCCCATGAAAACAACCAGCAATCTGTAAGGCTTTGAATCTTATTTTATTATTTTAATTGAATAATTTATTTAATGTTATTGCATTTTATTTTTAGACCCTTTGTTCCTCCTAAGGGGCAGACGTGAACGCACTGCCCTGCAGACAGGTTTTCACTCAAGAGCACGTCTCGGAGGGGTTGTTTCTAGTGCGTTGTGCCAGAAATCCCAGGGCACCAAGAGTGTAGGGCAAAAAAAAGCTTGTCGCTTCCCTTGCAGCCCAGAAACTGAAAGGAAAAGGGTACAGGCTGTCAATCACATCCCGTCAGGTTTTAGGTCCGAAGTCTGGACCAGGGGGCGGGTACACATAGCAAAGCGGAGCGAGGGGAGTTCTTGGGTCCTACGGGTCGGGGCAGACCCCTGGGGTCCGCAGCCGGGCTCGGGACCGGCGCTGCTCCCTCCAGGAGCCACCTGGGAGGGGACAGAGGCAGCACCTCCCGCGAGAGCCCCGTGCAAAAAGGGGCTCCCCGGCGGGACTGGGGCTGTCCGGCTGTGCTGCCCCCGAAACCCCGCTCCGCGGGCAGAGGCTCCGGCTCGGCTGGGCTCGGCTGGGCTCGGCTCGAGCCGCAGCGGCAGCAGCGCCTCCAGCCACCCACCCGCCGCCTCTCCCGGCATCCTTCATCCCCATCCTCCGCTCCTTCCTGCGTCGGCGGTGGAAGCAGCCCCCCGCCGGGGGCCGGGGATGCCCTCCTCTCCCCCCCCTCTTCTTCAGCCGCAACGGAGGAGGGGGGCTGTGATGCTGCAGGGAGATCCCCGGGTGTCGAGCGGGGTCTCCTCTTCCGTCGGCTGCCGGGATCTCCCCGCTCGGCGCCGGCGGCCCCGGCGGCGGCTGCGGGGGGCTGTCGGTCCGGGGCTGGGGGGGCGTAGGGGGACTCCCGTGGCAGGGGGCCGGGACCGGTGCCCCCCACACCGCAGATGACTCGACAGCCGGGGCTGGGGGAGCGGGGGGCGGGCGCCCGGCTATTTGCTGGCTGCATACAATGGGCCACTCCCTAACGTGAGGGTTGGGGGGAGGCAGGAGCTGGGAGGAGGAGGAGGAGGAAGGGAAGGCGCGGGGGGGTGGGGTGGGGGAGGAAGGGGCTCGGGCATCAGGCTGGTAAATAAACTCCGCGATGATTCCCCTCCCTCCCGCCGGCCCCAGGTGCGCGCCGAGCGCCTGCCTGCCCGCTGCCCGCCGGCGGGAATGACCTGACGGGAATGTGACCGACTCCCCCAGCCCACTGCCGCTTACCCCCCCCCATATATATATATATACATACATACATAGATGAATATATATATATAAATACACAGAGAAATCGTTCTGGGGGGAGGGGCGGGGAGCTCGGATCATGGCCCTGGGGCTCCCGGGGCTGCCGCCGCCGCCGCCGATCCGCAGCTCGCCTCCGGGGCCCGACCATGGGGCTGAAGGCTCGGCGCGGCGCCGCGGGCGGTAGCGCGGCCGGCGGGGCGGCGGCGGCGGCGGGGCGGCGAGCGGCGAGCGGCGGCGACCCCGAGCAGGGCTCGCTGGCCCTGGGCGCCGGCGGCGACCGGGACGGGACACTGCTGCTGGAGGGCGGCGGGAAGGAGGAGGGCGGCAAGCGGAGCCCGCCGGGGCTGGGGCTGCTGGCGAAGACCCCCCTGAGCCGCCCGGTGAAGCGGAACCACGCCAGGTACCGCCGCATCCAAACTTTGATCTACGACGCCCTGGAACGACCCCGCGGCTGGGCGCTGCTCTATCACGCCTTCGTGTGAGTACGCGGTGCTCCCCGGGGGGATGCCGGGGGCTGCCCCGGGGGGATGCGCCCGGGGACACCGTTTTGCTTTATCATTCTCTGCGTAAGGCGCTCCAGGGGCTCGCTCCGGCGCCGGGTGTGTGTGGGAGCAAGGGTCTGATACGAGGTGTGCTGCTGAGCGGCTTTATTTCTTTCTTTTCTGTCGTCGGGTTTTCCAAAAAGAGCAGCTGCTTTTAAGTCTGAGTCCCTGTCTTGTCCGTACCCCCACGTTGCCTTGGAGTGGCATTCCCGAGCCTCTATGTCTGAGATGCTGGAAAAGGGATGCCAGAAAGACCAAGCTCTGAGCGGTTTTAAGGCTCGAAGTGCTTCAGGGGAACGCGGCCAGTTCAGCTCAGCCCAGAGCACCGCGTGTGGTTCAACTCACTGTTACAAACCCCGAGCGAACCGACGCCTTCGATAGTTGAAAGTGTCAAATGAAAACCATCGGGTTTTGGTCCGATAAGCATCACCTCGCAGTGCATGAAACCTGAGCGTTGCAGCGCTGTCAGGTAGAAAGTTACACTGACCACAAGTGAACTGAGAGGAAACAAACTCGTTTTGTGACATTCACAAGTCAAGTGAATGGCGAATGGTTTGCACTCCTAAAAATTCTGTACCTTTAAGTTTTCATAGGAAAAAATAATTCTGTGTACAGCATAGAATGGAGTTGGTAGAGTCCTATTAAAATAAATGTGAGGTTTAATGTTGTGAATGTGTTTGAAAACCCAATGGATTATCAGTGATCACGGTGGTACTGTTTTTCTTTGATGCTGTTAGGTGTGCACAGCTCTATGTGACAGAGGATTTAAGCAGTGATTTCTGAAACTGGTTTACTTGGCAAAGACAAACAGAGCTCTCTAGGCTGCACGGGCTGTAGCCTAGAGCTGGATCTTGGGAAGTCCTAATCATTGGCATAGTCTTTGCACCTGCAAATAAACACCTTGAGTGTAGGGCTGTGATTTTTACCTTCAGGCAAATTTTTCATGATGTTGGCAAGGATTTAGCCCTGGACAAGAATTAAAATGAAATGTTCACTACCGGTGTGCTGCTGCGTGCCACTCACTCATTGCTGCTCCCCCCTTTTCGGTGTTTATTTATAAAGTACATCTTGGGACACAGGTCCTATTTTCCAGATTAATTTCTATGAATATGTGGATACTGGGTGCTGTGACACTTTTTCAGTTCTTTTGCTCCTTTTTGCCACAGGAAAACTCGTGCTGGCAGGCAGGGAGCGACAGCACTTGGAGTGTGTTATGCTGGGAAGGCTCTTTGGTCCAGAGCTTGCTGTTTAGTCGTGCTCAGTATTGCATAATGCTGCTTCTTGCTGGGGGGAGCCATGTCTGGACGGAGGGGCACCCCTTTCATCCTGCCTTAGTCAACCCCCACACACACTGCATCAGTGAGGATTTGGCACATGGCAGAGCACTGTGAGCAGTTGGCATTCCTCTGTGGCAGCTGGGTCAAATCTGTGCCCAGGCTTGTGTCTGGATATAGGCAATAGGACAGTGGATATGTGTGGAGAGGCTCAGGTGAGCTGAGAGATTCACGTTTATTTGCAGCGGTATAAGAATTTCCAAGTTGCAACGTTTATTTTAGGTAGCTCTCCACATGTGTGGTTGATCTTAAGATCCTTATGCAATATGATTCACAGAACAGGAAAAAAATCAGGATATTTGGATTGTTCAGTCCTTCTTAGGAGTGGACCTGACACTGTGTGGTCAACTTCCCTTTGGTGACTACTCAGTCCTGCAAAACTGAAATTTGAGTCTGACCTGCTCTCACAGAAGTCAATAACAGCTTTGTTAAAATCATTGATGCCAAGTTTAATATTAATGAAAATGAAACAAAACACTTTTAGAAGTCCTTATCCTTAAAGGAAGTAAAACACAGAAGTCTGTCAGCTGAGCACAAACACCCTGTCTCTTCCCAGGACACCCCAGGGGGCTCAGCAGTCCAAGTTGGCCCCACTGGGTTTCTGTTCAGTCTCAGCTCCTTCTGAACTCAGTTGAAGTTGTGCAGTCTCACCTCAATGTAGGATCAAACCCTACAAAAAGGAATCTGGTGAGAGTGATGGCAGAGTGTGCTGAGATCTTGCTGACAGACTTCAGAGCTTGTTCCTGCCACTGAAGAATGAAGACCTGCTCGAGAGCAGAAGTGCCGTGGGAAACAGCATCTAAGTTGGTATCCAAAGTCTTTGTTCTTGCTTTCAAATGAATTGTCTTTTAACCTTTTTTCCTTCTCTAAAGGAGTCCCTCTCGTGTTGGAGGTGCTGCTGTGACAATGTGTAGTGCCATCCCAGCAGTCCCCCAGTGATACTTTTCACACTAAAACAGTTTACACTTTTCCTTGGGAAGGCAAGAGATTGCCTATCTTTCCATAAAATAGACAAATTTGATCCTGTGTTACTCTTTAGTAAAAGTCCCATTTTTCTTATCTTAGTGGCATGTTACACTTTGTCTCATCTTCTGAGTAACTTTGCAATAAATGCCATGCACTCAAAACTACCAGTAAGATGGTTGCTCTCATATACAAATAACCAGACAATAAACAGCTGAGAGCCAAAAGGGATTGCAGCATGGATGGATGTGATTAATTCCTTATAGATCCAAGCATTCAGAGATATTTAATGAAAAAATTATACAAAGGACTCCAGTGCTGTGGAGGGTTTGGGAAGCTGCTGATGGAAGAGGGTTGCAACCTTCAGGACATGCCAAGGATGTTGTATGGGGCTCAGGAAGGGGCTTTGCCAAGGTCTTTGTAAAAGCTTTGGGTGCTAGAACTTTTAAAAGGGTGGTACAGATGGGATCTTGTTAAATCATAGAGCGATGCACATATGGCTGCAAAGGGGTCATGATCCCCTGTGTATCTCACTCTTATAATTAATTAATGGCCAGTCTTCGCGAGCGAAGATTTGGGAAAGGTCATTAACCCTTCGAGCCTGCGCAGTGGATTTTTTAGGTGAGACACAGCGTGCGCTGAACTGAGCCCACCCTTTAATCCTGAGGTTCATCTGCCGGGGCCAAGCAAGCTTGGACAGTGGCAGTGAGGTCCCCAGGACGTAGGTTTGTTTAGAGTGACCTTCTCTTAGATGGATGACCTTACAAGGCTGACGAGCTCCATCTGCCCGGGGGGCTGGGAATCGAACCCGGGTCGCAGCGGTGAGAGTCCTGCACCCTAACCACTAGACCACCAGAGGCCCCCTCACTCTTATAATGTGCACATAAATAAGACTTGAGCAGTGCCTGTTGTAAACTCTTGCTTCAGTTCAGGTAGTGTTAGATCTACTGTAATGATTCAGTCTATTGACATAATTCAAGGAGAACGCATGAACGTGATCAGGCCCTACCAAGCCCTAGGGATAAAGATGCAGGGGAGAAAGGGAAAGGTTCCTGATGGCAAATTTAACATTCAGCTTTCACTGGCAGTGATTTACAGAAAGTAGCATGAGATACTTTCTTCGTAATTCTTCCTTCTTTCTTGTTCTGCAAAAGTGAGTTTGTTCAAGCCTATCCTTGGGGAGTCGTTCCCTAAAGAAGCTGACTCTGTTTCCTTTCCTATCTGAAAACATTTATTCTCTGGCAGCTCTTCCGGACAGGAGATTTGTGTATCACCCATGAAGTTCCGCTTTGCTGGGACACCAGGGTTGATGGACTTCTTGGCAATATGGCAATGTCTTAGTGGCATAGTCGGTAAGAGGAATTTGTTTTTCCTAAGAAGAATTTCACCTCTGTAAGGCTAAACTTCTCCTGAACGTTTTCGATAAAATGAAATAAAATAAAAAAAATAAATCTCTTTTAACCTTTGAGGTATTTAATTTGGACATGTCTCTTGGGGGTTGCAGGTCAGGCTACAATCTATCCCTGCTCTTTCCTGAGCTCCTGTCACTGTAGGAATAACTGATGTTCCCATGTAGTACTGTATTTCCCTTTGTGTTAGGCAGCACAATATATTGTAGGAAACCCATGCGGTTGTGCCTCGTGGGATGTGTACTTTGGACAGGGAGACAGACTCAAGACCTGTCCACCTCCACAAACCATCCAAATGCTTTATTTATGCACTGAAGCATTCATGAATAGAATGAAGAATTGAAAATAAGTAAGATTTTGATTTTTCCAGTTTATTTTTAATTGTAAGCACGAAGTATTTGTTGGATAATGAACAGAGTCCAGAAAGATAACATAATACAGATCAAGTTTGGAATTGCAATTTGTGGAAAATTTTCAATCTGACAAAGAAAATAGAGGCTGAAGGAGAGGTATCTAGGATATATTCTTGTTTTCATACCATCTTCTGAGACAACTGCAGCCTTTACTTTCACAGAAAAATAAGACCAGGAAAAGGTTTGGGATTAGATTTTTCTTTTTGGGAAAGTGTGCAATATCAGCTGCACTCTGCTGGTGTAGATCACCATGTGTACCTGCTGATGAGAGGGGGAAACCATGGGGAACAAGAGAGAACCCTTCTCTATTTGCCATGTAATCTTCTTTCAGTAGTGCTTAATACCTGGAATAAAAAGAGGAGGCAGAGTCATGCGACCCATCAAATCATCAGCATTTCTGGGAAGCACCAGCGAGCACCTCCTGCATGACTGATCGTAGGTGTGTTGTTTGCAGAGAAGAGTGTCATGGGACTTGGGGAACAGGTTGAAGGTTTGGGGGCTTTCCATTATTTTCTTCTTCCCCCTTTGGGAGATGCTCTTTAAGACGTGCTCAACCACCTCCAGCCTGTGTGTGACATTTGGGGTGAGATGGGAACAGGTTTAGAACAAAAAGAAAGACAAATAGGAATCCTTCCTTGGCCTGTTTGGCAAGGACTTGTATCTAAGTGAGTCCCTGGAGCAGCAGAGCGAGCCTGGTCCATTAGTGAGTGCCCTTTGCTTATGTGTTTGCCAATTTGAGTTCTGTTTTAATTATTTATGCTAATTCATCATAATGCACAGATAAATATTCTGCAGTATACTTTGTAAAAAATAATGAAGTCTTAGTCATTGGAGACCTTACCACACACCTCTGCTGTTGCAGCTCCAGACTTGCAGAGCTGCCCTGTGTTTGTGTGTGGTTTAAGGAGATGGGACTGTGCCTCAGTCACTGGGATCAGCCAACATGACAGGCTGTGGTCACCAGGGGTTTGCTGGGAGGAATGAGAAGGGGCATCAGAGCCTGGGGAAGCCACTGTCTGGGTAACGTGAGTGGCTTGTGATTCCCAGCCATAGCTTTGGAGTCACTTCAGCAGCTCGCAGGTGCCCAACACTTGTTTAGGCATCCAAACTACCTCTGAAATTACAGACCTTTGGTGAGAATAGGTGTGTTTTCATCTACAGCTTCATATCTCTGTGCTTGGGCATTGGTGCTGACAGCAAGACCCATTCTGTGGTGGTACCTGCAGAAGTTGAGTTGGTTTGCCTGCTCATTCCACGTTGCCATGACTATGCTGGTAACTTGAGTCTTGGTGCTGCTCGTGCCTGCTCAATGGGCTCGTGGGAGCTGCAGGCACACGATTCCATGTTGCACAGGTGTGTGCCTCAGTGTCCCCCAAACCCCTGAGGATGCAGGTCCCTCAGCACCCTTCTGGCAAGTCCAGTCCCCAGCTCAAACTATGCAATGCAGCCTTGTCTGGACGGGTGTCAAGATCCACTGTGGTCAGCAATGCATGAGGGAGGGCTTGACATGTGGGAGAGCATCAGGACTGCCAGTGTCAGCAAACACTCAGCAGCTGGTCTTTCAGTGCTGTCAGCTCAGCCTAGGAATAATAGCTTCTCAAAAAGAAGTCATAGTCCCTGGTGTAATGTCTGTAAAACTGAACAGTCCCAAATTTCATCCATTTGTTGAGCAGTGATACAGCAAAGCCCCTCCAGCAGCCAGCAAAGCAAGTTTTTCTTCTCTTTTATGAACTTGGTGTGAGAAGCAGCACCATCTCAGTGCCACCCCTGCAGTTCTGGAGATACTGCCAGCAGTTAAGGCCAGGACTAGACTGACTGCAGTATCTCCAGCCTGGACTGTGGTTGGAAGCACCACTTTGTTCATCTCAGTTTCCTCATGTGCCTCGGTTTGTTCCTTGCAGCAAACATTAGATCATGACAGGACACAGCAGGGCCTGGGCTCCTCTGGAACAGCTGCTGGGTGGAGAGGGCACCTGGGTTTTACTTATTGTTTTAACCTGAGAGGGAGATTAGGAAAATGGTACAAAAAATGAACAGGGAGAAACTTTCCACACCCATTTTGCTCATTTTGCTGTAAAATGTAGAAACACTCAAAACAAATTTAATGGGAAAAATAGTAACTAAAGACTATTAACAGCTGTATTAGAAAACTAATACATTTATATAACACCAGTCATATGTCAAAGTGTGCTCGAATGTATGCAAGTGAACATGAAGGTGCCCCAGCAATTCCTACTTCTCCTGAAGGTCACCTCAGAAGCTACTCACCCTGCACATTTCTGTTCTTTTTTGGGACTCCCTGTCTTCAAATATCACTTGATTAAATCCTCTTTAATTATAGGTTACCCAGCATACAAACCTGTGCATGTATGTTGAACACGATTCTGTATCTCTTGGTCATCAGAAAGTCCTTTGTAGCATTGAGATGCATGTGCAATGTTCAAGGACAAGGTCTGAACTAGAATAATTTGTATCTAATTTAACAGCTGTAATGAACTTTCTAATCAAAATCAGTCAAGTGAGTGTTGAGATCATTTATATCTTTTTAAAAACATAATAGATTGTTGACCTTAGACATAGCCAGGTAGCTGAGTGGCTGGGTACTACCATGATCAGCCTTGCATGGTATAAATAAATTATAATGTTTATTCTTGTATTTAATAATGCTATATTCGATTCTTGTATTTAATAGTGCCATACTCTTTTCTTGTGCATGGAACTTTACAGAAGGAATGGAGCCATGGAGACATTGCATCTGCTATTGCTTCTGGCAGATACTGTATTAAATAGAATAACTTAAATATTAATAGCTTTGCAGGGAATGTGGTCTGCAAGAGCTGTTAAGTGTATGCTGCCTTCTGTCTCAGGATGGTAGCTGGGAAACTTAGTGTTTTCTGTGAAGAGAGGGACACGCCCTGGGATATTTGGATTCATGGTAACCTACTTTGGAAAAAGGCACTTTGGGAGAACTTCCAGGCTGGAAATCCGTAAATTGCCTTCCCCAGCCTTAAGTGAGCAAACTACTTAAAAGTCTGTTTGACTTGGAGCAAGTGATGTCAGGAGGAACCTATCCAAGGTGGCACTGAGGTAATTCAAAGCAGAACAGTGTGACTGAGATTTGGTGGAAAGCAGCACTGGATATCATCATCTTCCTCTGCACAACCAGCTCGCTGTTCTGTTCAGGCCTGGTGAGATCCTTCTAAGCTCCACTTCTCTACAGGATCCATCACAGGTCTTCATCCCTTCCAGAGCTTAACAGCCACCTCTAATTGTAGTCACCAGGATAACACCTTGTCCTCCTTAGTGGTGCAAACCATGCCGAGGTGAAGGTTTAATATATCTAACGCTGCTAAATCTCAGTTGGAGAGATGCTGCGACCCTGGCATGAGAAGCCTGCAGAGTCTCTTGAGATGCCCTGTGCTCTCACTCCTTTCTCCTACGTGCATTAATCTTGCCAAAGTCTTTCCCAATTTACTTTTTCTTGAATACTGGTCCATGGTGGTGGAGCAGTTCAGATCCATTGTATGCCAGCAGCAGTGCAGGACTCCTCATCCTCTGGGTTGGCTCTTGTCTTTTACTTTGAGTCCACACACTTTGTTTTAAGTTGTGGATACTTACATCTTGCTTGTCCCCCCAGTTTTTAGAGCTGTGGCTGGGAGCTGTATGAATGTGTTTTGCATTACTTTGCCAACTTGTGTTAATTTGTGATTGTCATGTTGACCCTCCAGTGCTGTGTTTTAATCTCAGGTGCTTTTTATATTTACTTTGTTCTGTCCTCACTAGTGTCTTGGTCACCTTCTATATTAGTACCTTATAATTTTTTGCTAACATTCAATTTAGTTCTTTTTCCAGATTGTTAAGGAAGCATTTAATAAGGCCAGAACTAAGAAACTCCATTCAGCATTTCACTAAATAAAAACTCCCCCCCCTGTTAATGCGATATCATTTTTTAGGACTTTATTCATATCTCTGAACCCAATTTTTAATGTCATGGTGTTTCTCATGGTCATCTGAATTAATACTAAAACAAAGACTTTATGAGATACTGCACCTGTGTCAAAACTGCAAATAGTTCCGCATTTCTTTTTGTTCAAACCTGAGTCTTGTTTATCTATTTAGTTCTGTGATGTGCATTTAATTGTTGTCTTCTTATCTCAGATATTTCATGTTTTTGACATGGTGTGTACCTCGTACAACAAAATAATTCATTGTTCCTCGTACCATCCACCTCTAAAGCAGAGCTAAAGCAATGCTGAAAGCTTAAATGTCCTAATCCATCCAGGTCCTAGTTCTTCTACATTTTATAGAAGCCATTAGATTTGGGTTGTATCTAACTTTAGGTGAACGACAGAGATATTAATACTAAACCAGAAGACTCTTTACAGGGAATTCCCCACTGACTGTAAATTCAGTCTAAAATTTTCTGCTTTCAGTGGGGATGGAGGAGAAGCAAGTACAGCTGCTGAGGGACTGATAGTGAAATCCCCAAAGCGCCCTGTGGGGAGCTGCCCACCAGCTCTCAGCAGTGCAGCATCAGCTCTGCTTATCTTTGCTCCCCTCATGCCTCCCCATGCAGGGCTCAGAGCGTTTATGAGGAGGGATTACACCCTGAGGAGGGAATGTCAAGAGCAGCTGATTGAAACTGCAGGGGAATTAATTTAGGAAGGTAATTACACGAACTGGAATTTGCTCTTCTACCTTTGCTAACACTGCTGCTCTTGTGAGACGTGCTGGAAGAATTTCAATGCACACAGCTGGCTGAGGCTCCCTGATCACACCTCAGGCACCGTCTGCACCGTGCCACCAGATGCACAGGGCCACAGCTCAGGACCAGCCTTGCTCTGCAGCTATGACAGCAGCTTTCCTCATGCCTAGAGTAGGCATTAACTGTCTAGACTAATTGGCAGAGCCATACCAGGGATGTTCCCAAGCAGTGACACACACTGACTGATAACACTGCTGGATGACCTGTCCCATGGTTTTGTTCTGAGTGACTGAGCACAGATCAAGTGTTACCACAGACCTGGGACCACTCCCAGTAGGAGTCTGAGTGGGGCTCCCTGCTTTGGAGGCAGGTGAGGTCAATGATATGGACATTGGTCATGCCAGCTGGTCTCATGGACAGAGAGCAGGGCTGAGCATCTTTGGGTTACTAGAAAAGACGTAATTCTTATATATGAGATCTTACCAATTTGGGAATATCCTCCTGGGTCTATGCAAAAAGCCACTTTTTTGGGATAGAATCTTAAAATAATTTGGGATGGAAGGCACCTTTAAAGGTCATCTAATCCAACCCCCCTGCCGTGGGCAGGGACACCTTCAACTCGAGCAGGTTGCTCAGAGCCTCATCCAACCTGACCTTGAATGTTTCCAGGGATGAGGCATCCACCACCTCTCTGGACAACCTATGCCAGTGTTTTATCACCCTCATTGTAAAAAAATTCTTCCTTATACGTAATATAAATGGACACTCTTTTAGTTTAAAACCATGACCCGTGGAATAAGACCCTTCACTTTGATAAAGACCCAAGAAACCCTAACCCACTGAAATAATACAGGTTTCACCCTATGTGTGTGCCCAGTAACACATTTTATTTTCTATATCTTTTCTTCTTCCTGTTCATGGGACTTCACCATGGCTTTTGCCTTTTCTGTTTCAACATTCCTTGTGCTGATCAAACTCCCGTGGAGGTTCAAACACTTCACCCCCACATCTTGGCATATTAACAAAAGAATACATTTTTGTGGTACAAATCCAGGAGGAAGAGCCCACTGATCGTTCATTATCAAGCTTCTTACTTGTGTAAAACATAGAAGAAGATATTATTAGTTGTGTTGCTGCTGATATTTGGGTATTTCTCCTGAGTTTGTCTCACTCATTATTGTAGATTACCTTGTCAGGTTCTGGGTGCAGAGGTGGGCTGACAGAGGCAGTTCCTGCTCTCAGAGCATGGTGCTATCACATAGTACATTGTCAAATACACTGCTTTTTTCAGTGTTAAATTACTTAAACGAACTGCATTTCCCTGCTTTTCCTCAGGGCTCCAGCATCAGTCTCTCCACAGTCACAATGAGATCCATCCATCTATCCCATTATCTGAGGAAGCTGTCTGGAATCCTTTTATAGATGATAAAGAAAAACAGGAAATGGAACTTTCTAGAGTGCAATTAATCTCATTCTAAAGACAGTTCTAAACTAGGTGAGTTTAATCACCTCTTGCAGTGCCTGAAACTTTCTGCTGACTACAAAGGAGACCTCATGTGACTAACTTAAATTTGGGTATTTGCACTGAAAACACCTGGGGAATGGGAAACTTTTTGCCTGACCTGAGAGGCAAGGATCAAAGCCACATTGAGACAGCTGAATTTACACATGTTCAGTAGGTATTTAACTTCTCTTTATAGTCAGTGGAGATCTAGTCAATACAGTCAATGGATTTTTTTGGTGCAATTCATCCAACCAGATGTGGGGGTCTGCTTTACATGGAGATAAATTACACCTTCAGCTCTACTGAGCAACTCTCCGTGGTCTATAGCAGGAGCTGAGGTGACTTGATCTCTGGTAAATGTCTGTAGTAAAAGCCACAATCACACAGAAAAGTCAAACCTTTAAAGGCAAGAGGAATATGACTCATATTATTGCATAGGCTTTTATTAATATTAGGCTCAGTTCTAATTCCCTTTCCTCAAGAGTTTTACATATGTGGCTACTTATTATCCCAGGCCATGACAAGCCTACGGTCATCCCTGACATGATGCCAAAGAACATATGATTTCAGTAGCTTTAATATCTTTCTCTAGTTGGGAGTCTTGAGCTTACCTTTCCACTTTCCCTTTGTTCTTTGTTTTGCCATGGGCTTCATCTCCCTGAGCCCTCCCATAAATTTGCTCTTAGTTTATGATCAGTTGCAGTTGATCTTGAGGTCACACTCAAATCCAGACATAACTACCTTTTGTACTGAGCTTCAGATCCAAACCTCGGATTGACTCTGTTTTCCCTCCATCTTCTTGTGGCCATTCAGGATTTACCTGGGCACAGGTGTTAACTGTGGTGGGAGTTTGCCAGCAACAGGCCAGCTTCCTCCTATTCCTGCATTTCTGTCCATTTACATTGTTGACTCTGTCTCTCAAAATTGCCTCACCAAATCAAAGACAACACTGCTTTCTAGCAGGTGTCTTTTAGGGCCCAGAAAACACTTTGTGAGTGGTTTGGACATTGCCCTTTTGAAGCTTGTAACAAGTGTAAAAGGTCAATTTGAATGGCCTGTTGTGAATGAGGGTGATTGTGAGGGTCATTCATAAGCTCAGAGTGTTTTTTAAGTGCTACAGTTTTCTCTGTAAAGTTGGAGACTTTGCAGATATGTAGGCACCACTCAGTATTTTCAAGGGCATGCTCACTTTCATACACCAGCTGAATCAGAAAACCAGCATAATTGAACCTAATACTGAAATCATCGGAGAACTGTACAAAATCTGGATGCATGCAAATGCCCTGACATAAAGAAGTGTTTTTGGGTGGTGGTGTGTTCCTTTTACAGCTGCTAGTTTGCGTTTTGCTTGTTTTTGCAGAAATACTGAGCCAGCAACCTCTTTTAGTCATGTCAGTGCAAATGTAGAGTAAATCTATTACAGTCAGAAGAACAATTGGATTTGGCTGCTGCACCACAAACTTGTTCTGGACTTACTACAAAATCTTTTCATTTTTTACTAATACTCTCTGCTCGTACCAGAGGCCAAGGTCAAGGTCCTGCACCTCTGGCAAGGTACTTCCCTTCTACAACAGACTTGTCCTCTCAGTAAGGTAAGCCAGCTTAAGGAATGGGATAAATAGGAGAGATGGAGATCCCCTGGCAAGAAAACAAGTGAACACCACTCTGTCCCAGAGCTGCCAGTATTCACACCATGGTGTTCATCATGTTGGGAGCTGGTTTATATAAACACTTCCTTCCCTCTCTGCTCTTCAAAGATGAAAGAGGATTTTTCCTACCTCCTAAATCCAGTTATTTGGTTAACAAATCCAGTGCAGATAAGCTGGGGCAGTTAAGCAAGTGAAGTACTGTCTTTCTGCCCATTTCTTGGTGAAGGTTGTGTCTGATCTTGGAGTTGTAGGAGGGAGTTGACAATTACAACCATAAAACCTTTTAGTTTGTAGGGTTTTAGAGGCCTCCAGTCCAGTCCCCAGAGCAGGGTTAACTTCACAGTCAAATCAGGTTGCTTCAGTCTGTATCCAGTTGAGTTTTGTGCATCTCCAAGAGCTGAACTACTTTATATTGTGAGGAGTGATAAATTTGGTTGCTCTTCACAGATATGTTGTTTAATGCATTTCTTATAACAGGTAGACTTCTAGGCCAGGAGTCTTCTTCCCGCCCCACTCCATTCAATCCTGAGTATGCATGGACAGAAGTGAGATGTAACATCTGGACAGAGATGCTGGGCAGGTCAGCCCACTGTGGAGGAAAAAAATGCTCCAGATTTTTAACTATGAAGAGAGTTGTGTGCCGCTAGGCTAATTAACACCAACACTGCCTATGTTTGCAGCACTGGCCCTGGGGGATGCTAGGAATAACCTTCGGTGTAATCAGTACAGGTAACGGAGAATAGGAAACCTTTCCCAATGACTTCTCTTTTTTTTTTTTTTTTAAACTGTAATTTGACATTTCCACCAAATTTTCATTATTCAGAAGAATAATTCAGTCTCAACTCTACAACTCCTTTGTACTTTCCAATCTCTTTCTCCTTGTCCCTCACTCAATCCCATATTCTCTCCTTCCCTTGGTGGCATTCATAGCCTGGTTACTGAAAAACAGCACCCATCACTGAATCATCCAGCTCTTCTCTGTGCCTTTCCTCAGCCTCTCCTACTTTGACTATGACAACAGAGTTCAGTTCGACTTAAAATCTGTGGACCTAAGTGCTGGTATCAGGTTGACAGAGCCGACATGACAAATTGTCTCCTACTCAGATATAGTTGTATTTACCTTTTGGTCTTTTTTACACTTTTTTTATTTAACTTATTGGATTTTAACATTGAGTTCACCCATGTCAGGATTAAAACTGTGTCTCAAATTCCCTCAGAGTAGGGACTCAACGAGAATTACTTTATCCATATGGTGAAAGGTAGTTTAGGTGCAGGAATTATCTCTGAATCACCTTGTGTTTCATTAGTGTTTCTCTTTTGCTTTCACAGCTCCCTGATGTTAAATATGGCATTTGGTGCTAAGGTGCTTCCGCTGGGCCAGCCTGTGACTTTGACCACAGCCCAAAGTGAGAGTCCCTACATAAACAGCATCCTTGTAGGAGAAGAGTTGTTTTAATTCAGACCCACACACTTCTGAGTCACGGCTCCTGATCACTCTTTGCTCCAGGGGTGACGGTGGTGTTAGGGAAGGACTGATTTATTGATGACCTGTGTAGGTAACAGCTTTCTTGTGGTGACTCAGCTGTTCTCTCGAGAAAGAGGGAACATGAAGTGGAGGTGGACACCCATCTCTCTTCTCAGAAAGGGAACAAACTGAACTAATATCTGTTCCTGGTCTCAGTGGTAGGAGGAAGTGATTTAGGAGCATGATATACAGGCTAATCCATGATCTGCATGTTACTACATACCCAGCTTGAGGTGTTGCTCCCAGAGTCAAGGTGATAACAGTGTCCTAGTTTGCAGATCCATTTGCAATCAGTGTTGATAACCAAGAAATTAAAGATGGGAGCTCTTGGTGTGACAATAAATGAACAGCAACTTTCTCTAGCAATTGAGTGTATAGGCAGGGTTGAATTCCTGAATCACCACATTCTCCAGTAAATGGGATGAGAAAGAACATTGCTCCCAGAGACCAAAGCAGGACATAATCACCTTTGAAACAACATTTTGTTGGACACCATAGGGAAGCTCTTCTGTTACAGAATAATATCTTACAGTTTTCTGGAAACAGTAACTCTAAAGAAAACATCATTAGGATGAGTGAAGAAAAGAGATTTTGAGCAGATGGAAATCTGTCTTCATTGGCAGTGCTTGTTTTCACTTATTCTACCATGAGTTAATTTCCCAGCAACTTGAAGTAGATAATGTGTTTATAAGCCTTAATCTGAGTTCTCCATCAATGTTTGTTCCAGTCTACGAAGACGGGGAGTTTCTGTTATACTAGAGGGCTTTTTGATTGCATAAATGATGATATAACACGGTTGGAAGATGATGCAAGATAAATTTAGGCTAATAGGGGAACAGATATCTGCTGGAAGAATTTGCACAAGAAATTATCAATTTTCCACTTGTCATTTTTAAACCAAACTTGGAGAATTTTTTAGAAGACAGCTGTAGGCTATAGCTTTGCTGCAAAATATGGGCTAAATCAATAATTCTGCATATTCTTGGCTGATGATTAGGCAAGACTTAAAGTTATAACTAGGAATATTTTTTTTTCTAATTTAGCAACAATAAGATAAGTAAATGAGAAATGAAGTAACTCAGGAAAAAGATATTTACTTATATCTTAACTGTATTGTTAACATCATAATGTAACATAACAGAAGCAGTAGCAGTTATAGTGATTGGGCTGGAATTCTTAAGACTAAATGTAGTTATGTCTTCCCTGTAAATATCTAAATGTGTCATTTCAATCTCCTCAGATGCTGGTATAAACCACTGCTGCAGGAGCATTGCTGATGTTCAACTCATCCTGAAATAAATGACGACAGGGATATATCACATCCTGATTACCAGTGATGATACCAAATAAATAGGTATCACTTGACTGTAATGGGAGATTCAGTACATGGCTTACATATAGACACCTACATTACAAACACTAACTTTGTGAGATGAATCTTATCCTAATCACATTGTTGAAGGCCTTGTGGGGATAATAACTTCACAAAGTACTCGGGCAGGAGGGTAGAACAGAGCTGTCCTTTTTGGCCCGAAGATGACTGCCCCGAATACGAAAATCTCATACAGTCTAAAGTCTGGAACACCTTTCTCAAAACATGAACCAAGATCACCAAATTTCTGCAGTGCTGAATTCTGATTCAGTCTTGTACCTAAATCTTGTTGTGGTGCCTCTTACTCTCACCTTGTGGTGACCTGTGCTGATGTCCCTCAGGGACATCCCTTCTGTGCATGCAGAAGGTAAAGCTCATGTAGCATAGCTTTGCAGAACTGGGGCCAGAAATTGTTGCTGTTTCTCTGGTCAATGTAGTCCTTACATAAATAGTGAAATAATATTTGCCAGAATGTAGTGTTTTGGTTTTGTTTGGTTTTTTTTCTGGAAAGGGCCCAACACAATGTTATCCTATTCAGAACATAAATACCTAGCTGTATCTCTTGAGCTATTTAAAAAAGCAATTGCAATATGGTCATTCCTTTAGCTGTCAGCTCTGTTGAAGAGTGGGATGTAATTTTTAGGTGTCCACGCAGTCTCTTTGCCACTGATCCTGCAAGGAGAACAGATGGACCTGTCTGATGTCTACCTTGTCCAGAGGGAAAAAAGAATGGTTTTCAACCCACTTGGTTAAAAAAAAAAAAAAAAAAAAAGAAGAGG